AGATATACTGTACAAGGCTCGGCATGGCCAGGTGGTTAAGGACCTCGACTCGCAATCTGTGGATCGGGGGTTCGAATCCCGGTCCAAACAAACATGTTCGTCCTTTTAGCCGTGGGGACGTTATAATGTGACGGTTAATGGCACTATTCGTTGGTGAAAGAGTATGTCAGGAGTTGGCGGAGGGTGGTGATGACTAGCTGCCTTTCCTCTAGTCTTTCACTGCTAAATTAGGGACGGCTAACGCAAATAGCCCTCGTATAGCTTTGCGCGAAATGCAAAAACAAAACAAAATATACTGTACAAGTATGCTTTCAGGGAACAACTTTATAATAACGGAACATGAATGTAAAAACATCAATATTCTAAACCGCGTTCCGAAGAAAAAATTTATGTGTTGTTTCGATGGAATCTAGCAATTTCAATACTGTTAGTTAGGCTAAGGATGAAGTGCATAAACAGGTAAAGATTCTTGTTATTGCCAAACTGAAGACGTCTTTAAATGCATTCAAATTCTTTTGAAATTGTAAGCTCGATAACTTTTACATTTTCTAATTCTGTTTACTAAAAAAGTCGTTTCAGTGGCACAGGGGTGTGTCAGTAAATTTACAACGCTAGAAACCGGGCTTCGATGCCCGTGGTGGGCAGAGCACAGATATTCCATTGTGTAGCTTTGAGCTTAACTACAAATAAACAAACAAACCTTAGCGAGCGAAGACGACGTCTCCTAACGTGAATGTGTTCTCATGTGACTTAACAGCCCAATTCGAGATATACATTGTGTGGAACACCTCTGGCAGATTGTGCTCAGAGGAAGACGTTGTCGCAAAGAAGGGTTGGCTTCTTTCTCTTTCCTCTTCTGTCGCTTCTGCTTCTCGTTTTCCCGTCGATCAGTTTCAAAGAGGATATATCATACTTATATAGAATAGAAAAACAAAAACCTCTACTTTAAAGGATACCAAAACAACAACACTAACAACGCTAAGCTGTTATCAAATTTTAAACTTAATGTAACAAAAATTCTCCATGTATTTTTATGTTTTTCGATCGCGGGTTGGCCCTGCGGTACAGCTTCGGGTTTCGTTCGTTTGTTTTTATAGCAAAGCTGTATACACCACGGAGAATCGAACCTAGGATTTGAGCATTGTAAGTTCGTAAACTTACCGCTGTCTCACGGGGGGAGGACTTTTGGGTTTCGAAGCTGACGAGCCAGGTTCGAACCCGTATGATATCATGATATCCTTCTGTAGGTGCGTTATAAAAATGAAGCCAAATCAGTAGCGTGGATGGTGGGTAGTAGGATGCTGTTGACTGTGGTTCAAAATTAGGGACAAGAAGACAGCCTTAGTAGCTTTGCCACAAATACAAAACACAAACTTCTATAATTATTAGTCCTCCAAACAAATCTAGTTCTCTCTGCTCTTAAGATGTGGCATTAAGTTTAAAAATAAGTAGATAAGCAAAAATCTTGAATTCTAAGCTAGCAGAAAGATTTCCAACAATACAATGATTATAAACTGATGTTTTGTAAAAACCAAAATTACTTGTAAAGTTACCCTTGTCTTTACCACATTAATACATTACAAATGTACATGTTAGCACTTTAATAAACCCATAGTTTGCTAATGAGCCCTAATTAGTTAAGGTTACACTGTTATGTACCACACTCTTTCCTACGAAACACAAAAAATTTGCTTCCTACTATTATCAATGCCATTACAACAGAAACTGACTGGTACTTGAACAGATTACTTGGAATTATAAGATGCTTAATTAAATCTGATCAAGCTTTAAAAATTCAAAATTACCTTAAATTAAAAAAAAAATGTTGTTGTTATGGAGGTAAAAAAAAAGGTCAAAGAAACTTACGAGTACCGATTTCTTGTATTGAACAAAAGGAACGTAACAGAATAAAACCATTTTACTATTTTCGCAGCTGTATAAGAGTTAGGATACTGATATGAAATACACTTCAAGAGATGAAGCTGGCGTGTTCATTTAAAGTAACTTTGTTTTTTCTCTTAGTTCCTTGCGATATCTAAAGGTGAAAAGATCCAACACTCCACAACTTCTGTTGTTGTTGTTTCTTGTTTATTCCTGAGTAGCTAGAATAGAAAATCATCTTAAAATGTTTTCTTTTTCGTAGGCCAAACTTTAACAACTTTTATCCAAACTGTGTGTCTGACGTTATTGATTTTATTTTTAAGGATTTTTGTTTTTCGTTATCTGCTCATTTTTAAAGACTTTTTTTTTCCTTTCTTTAATGCTTTGTTAGTTCCCTCGCTTTTTTTCTTTTAAGGAAGTAGTGATAACCTTCTAAACAACTCTCTTTGTGAGTTTCGTTTTAGCTGCTTCCTTCAAAGAAGATTTAAGAAAGTTCTGTTAGTGTTGCCATGGAGAAGGCGCGTGCCTTCCACTTCTTAAAGCTTATCAGAATCTCCGAGAGAGGGTCTTGCTTGTCTAAGTCATTGATTGTCTGATTTTGGAAGGAGTTCTCAGATAAAAACGCATTTCTTTGAAGACTTATTACCGAGTCTCCAATTTTATCATCCGAATTTTAGAAAATCCCTAACAATTTCCATTCGTGCTTTATTTTTATCATTATAAAAATATTTATAAAGAACAGAGTATATTAAATATAGGCTTACTAAGCCTGCTAAACTACGTTTACGATGAACTGTTTCGTCGTTAAAAACAAGAAAAAAGCTGATAGCCAGTTAGACCCGCTTCCGATATAAGGTTTCCATTCTTTTAAAATAAAAACAACTTTCGGTGCCTTGAGAAAATCCAAACGTGCTTAAATAAAGGTCAATTTTTATACTTTTCAATACGTTTTTCACATATTTTTACATTATCTAACATATTTCTCACTGTGACTGTTACTCGGAATATCAATAAGATAATTCACAAAAATTAATAAGATTTTTAACGATCAAATCGCCAACAAAATTCTAATTACTCACTCCGTACAAAGTACATTTGTTGTCACATATCAAGTTATTAAAACGTCGTCACTGACACAGAATGGAGAATAAAATGAGTAATGCTCTGCACGTGTTCAGTCTGATAACAGAGAGATTGAGTAATTCTAGGTTTCTTGTTGAGTATTCAATGAAAGCTTAAAATAAATTTATAAATTGTTTAAAATAAGGTGGCTCTACAGTTCGTACTACACAGTAATCCATAGTAATTAGCTTCTGATCAAAGTAAGCTACCTATATAGATCAGAAGTAAAATCCATAGTCATTAACTTTTGATCTAGTACTGTCATTGTTAGCGATATTTTCGGCTGTAATATCAATAATATTTACCAGGTTCAGTCAGCTTAGATCTAGGTTAGTCCAAAATCTATATACTAAGTTAACAAATATAATAAAAAGTTAAAAAATTATATATGTATATATATATTGAACAATTTAACCAATACTGTTAATGACATTCAAATTAAAGAACAACAGGACAATGTGTTCTTAGAAGGATGATGTAGATAAAATATAGTCACGTGTCAGATTAGAAGTAGAACGTGATTGGTTAAAAGATGACATATATATATATATATATTGAACAATTTAACCAATACTGTTAATGACATTAAATTTAAAGAACAACAGAACAATGTGTTCTTAGAAGGATGATGTAGATAAAATATAGTCACGTGTCAGATTAGAAGTAGAACGTGATTGGTTAGAAAGCATGATGATGTTAATAGTCGGAGATTCGAAGCATCAAAGTATTAAGGTACTATTTTCTACGACAACGTTCTGAATAAATGAGGTTCCCAGTTCTCATCTTTATAATGATCACTTTATATATCTTCGAAAAATTGCTGTCTACACTTTATGTGTGGGGAGAAAACACAGGAAGAAAATGTGGCACAATTAAGATATACGTTGCTTTCGTAATGGTCATAAAACTGTGTGGTAGGTAAACAATAAAACAAACTTTAAATTTTATAACGCGGATTAGCCTAACATTATCACAAAATTGAATTTAGATTAATAAAGCTTATTTGTTGATTTTAGGCTTAGCTTATAAAATTTTGTATCCAGTATTTTGAACTTAAAGGTTTACTCGTAGACTGATATTATGGTTTGTTATATGTTGTGAACTTTGACGCTGAAAGAAATTATGTCTTATACACACAAATTCTGTCCAAATGCAGTTTCAATTTTAAATTCCATTTTTCCACCACTCATTCTCTTTGTAGATTCACGTTTTGATTCTTTAACTTGTATCAACGCTTGATAATTAATTAATTTTTCGTGAAGATCCTTGTTACCAAACCTCTTTAATTATTGTTTGGAATGAAAGTCGGAGCAGGATTCGAACCCATATATTTATAAACTTACTCAGTTGGACGTTTTCTGGATTTCTTTCGAGTTTAAGAAAAACCTTGTATACATTATAATAAAGAGCAGCGCCACTCAACGACAAAGAAATTCCAAACACTTTCAGAGTAATTATTGGCTGAGATTCATTTATATTGAACGAAATTTTTTGCACGGCAGTTTCCCCGAAAGGAGGCCGAAGGTGGCCTAGAAGGGTCACTTGTTTTAACCACTCGCACTACCATACAGTAGTGTGCTGTCTGTATGTCTGTCAGTAGACACTAAAATGACGTCACATAATGGACGCTTAACGTTGCAATTTGTACTGTCGTGACGTCGGTAAGACGTGCGCATGCCACGAATCATGAGAAGAATTATACACTCTGTAGGCTACAACACACAGCATAACATAAGAACTTCAAAAGCAAGAAATAAAAATATTTGTTACTCTTAATTTTGGTTTTATTTACTCTCGAAACTGAACAATTTCAGGTTTCTTAAAATATATTTTGCCTGATGCAGAGATTATAAGTATGTTACTGAGATTACGAAACACATGCTGTTGTGTTGTAATGTCTTCTGACCGACGTATCGTTTTTATAAAAACTTCAAATAAAAAAAAATGTTGCAGCGATTTAAACTTAAAAAATATCAACGTATTTTTATTAATTACAGTTCCCCCGAAGATCAACCCTTTCAGCTTTAACAGTGATCTGTACGAGGGATCGCGAGCGGCAGTCACTTGTGTTGTAGTCGCTGGAGATCGTCCGATATTCATTAAATGGCTAAAGGATGGCCGACAGCTGACCGATGGTGACCATGGATCGTCCATATTTGTAGCTGCCGAGGATTACGTATCAACATTAACCCTAGACAACCTGTCCCGACGTTTCAATGGAAATTACACGTGTAAAGCCTCAAAACTTACTTTTTACTTCTAAGAACGCACTGTATGAATCTGTACCGACAACAATTTTTTTTACTGGGAAATCACCATAAGTTAAAAAAATACAGTAGAGTGACATTTCAGTTACGTTTTAAACGATAAGAACAAATGTTCTAGTTAAGGCTAAGATTTAGAGTGATAAGCTAATACAATTACTTTAATAGTAGTAAACTGAAACAATAAGGCTATAATGATAAGATAAAACGACGTCTTAAATAACTTTAAATTAAAATAGTAACTTAATTGTAGTAATAATTCCAATTGTTATTATTAAATAGAAATGTTCCTCCTCTACGTAAAAAGACTAATTGTTTTTCCTGGTGCTAATTAAACACCAAAAATTGAATTATCTTACGTGTGATTTAAAATTCCAAACACTTTTTTTTAACATTTTATCTAAAAAAAATATATACTTTTTACAGTTTCATTCCAAAAGAGAGCTGGGGATTTTTCAGATTTTATCAACCTTTTGGTATGGTGTCATATAATAGGCCTAATTTGTATTTATGTCGTAAGCAGAATAAAACTCTGGCTGTAAAGTTAAGCTAAATAAAAGAGTGGAAAGTTATACGTTTATTAAAAACCTAAACTAAGTCATATTCCGCATCGAAAGCCATGTAGAACCCCACTGTGTGTCTATCATCGACCTAGTTGGGCTTACGAGAGCCAACACTACTCGTAATGGCGTTTCTCTGTAGATCTTGGTTTTGGTTTTGTTACATATGTCATCCAAACACACGCATGCTCAGTACAATTTTTCTGAACATAAAACATTATTTATTAGGTTGGCCATTTATGTTATTTTTATAAACACCTTTAATAAGAGGCTGACGAAAAACAAACCAAAAACTCTTGTATAAAATAAATTGATTCTACAATGTCAACAGAGAAATATATTATTTTACTCTAAACAGACACACGTTTACTTGTGGGTAACATGTTTAAAGGTGGGAAATAAAGAGACGATTTTTTTTTTCACAGCGCCACCTTACTGGACAATACCGCCTGTTGACTCCAGAGCTATACTGGGTAGGTCTGTCATGCTACATTGCCAGGCTGAAGGATACCCCACGCCCCACATACGTTGGAAAGTGGCAAAAGGTAAGTAACCTGCATTTCTTTAAAAAAAGGGCGAAGATTCATAAGTTTATTTATCTCAAATCTGTTTATTAAAAATTGTGAGAACCCTGCGAATCAGTCACTTAAAAAACTTTGGTTCGTGGTGAAATTATACTGGTCGACAAAATCAAGTTCTTTTCTCTCAAACAAATGTAAACACACTTTTCTAGATTAGTTTTGTACGCTAATTACAAATCTGTTTTCAGTTTTGTTCTAGCTCATCTAGTTATCGAAATATGACTGGTGTTAATTTCAGCACAATTTAGGTAATAATCACATATTAGGCTAGATAACGTTACAACTTTATTAATTTTTCAGTATAATTCCCATAAACGTCATACACACACCATACACTTGGTTATATTTATACAGTACACACTTATGAAGAATTAAATGTACAACAACTTCAATTATAATTAAGGCAATAACCTTTCAGATTTGATCAGTCTCATCATCAAAACTTGACGTGTTAGAGGGAAACCAAAAACAGATTTGGAATCAGCTATCTAGCCCACCTATAATTATATCTGATAAAAATGGCTTGTTAGCCTTTGTTATCGGTTGCTTACATCGGTGTTTCTCAAAGTGGGAACCGCGGCCCCCCTGGGTGTTGTGAAGCTTTTTCTGTGGGTCGCCAAAAAATGGGCCGAAAACAAAAATGCTGAATTAATTTTAATTCTAAATAAACAATAAGCCGATAAAAATTATGTTGAATTAATTAACTGATACAGTATGTTGAAATGAGAGGTAATT